CTCTGGTTCTCTGTGAGCACAGGCAGAGTAGGTTCTGAAAGCCCAAGGGCTGCCTCTGACAAAGAAGCACAAGTGCTGGATATTGGAGGTGAAAGCACAATGACAACAACCATATCTTAGATCAAACTATGGAACCTATCCAGATCCCCCAGGAGCCCTGGTGGCCCAAATACTGGGCTGCTAACTGAAAGGTTGGTGGTTGGAATGCACCCAGTGCCTCCACAGGAGAAAGACGTGGAGATCTGCTTCCAAAAAGACTACAGCCTAGGGAACCCAATGGGGCAGAGTGCACAAATGGTCAAAGGATCCCAGGGAATATGGGTGGAGCAGTGGCAGCTACACAAGCACCGGGCTCAGCATGTGCAAAGGCCCTGCGGTGGGCCAGACAGCGGGGAGCATAGTGTGTATAAGGCTATAAAGAGGTGAATGAATGCAAGTGAGGTCAGAGAGGAAATAGAGGGGCCAGATTGTATTGTCATGGAGGTGATGTCAGAAGTATAGATTTTATTCTCAGCGTGGTGGGAAGCCACTGGAAGGTTTGAGCAAGTCAGTGGGCTGTAATCTGATTTATTTTTCTTAAAAGATCATTCCAGCTGCCTGGCAGAGACGGGATTGAAGGGGCTGGAATGCTGGTAGGAGATCAGTAAAGTGGCTGCTGCTGTCAATCAGACAGGAGATGCTAGAGCTCTGGTCGGTGGTGGGGGTTTGGAGATGCTGAGAAGTGTGCAGACTCAAGAGCTGCTTAGGAAGTAAAATCCACAGGGCACCCCAGGACATTTCATATAAATGGAGTCAGTCAATATGTGGCCTTTTGTGGCTGGCTTCTTTCACTTAGCATAATGTTTCCAAAGTTCACTCATGTTGTAGCATGAATCAGAATTTCATTCCCTTTTTTTTCCATATATATATATACGTAATTTATTTTAGTTTTAAGGAGCCCTGTGGTGCAGTGGTGAAAACACTCAGCTGCTAACGGAAAAGTTAGTGGTTTGAACCCACCAGCCGCTCCCTGGGAGAAAAATGTGGCGGTCTGCTTCCATAAAGATTTACAGCCTTGGAAACCCTATGAAGCAGTTCTACTCTGCCCTGCAGGGTGGCTATGAGTTGGAATCAACTTGATGGCAATGGGTTTCTTTTATTTTTGTTGTTGTTGAGAATGTACATAGCAGAACATACACCCATTCAACAGGTTCTACGTGTACAATTCAGAGACACTGATTACATTCTTCGAGTTGTGCAACCATTCTCACCCTCCTTTTCTGAGTTGTTCCTCCTCCGTTTACATAAACTCACCATCCCCTAAGCTTCTGATCTAATCTTTTGAGTTGCTGTTGTCCATTTGATCCCATATAGATCGATCTTCAAAGGGCACAATGCTCAAGCAGGCATTCTTTGCTAGTTAAGCTAAACCATTGTTTGATTTTAAGAAAGAATTTCATTCCTTTTTATAGGGCCAGGAATTTTGTCTGTGTTTTTCACAGCTGGGTCCTCAGTGCAGAGGGGAGTCTTTCCCTTTTCATTTTGGAGGATAACAGACAAGCAATTAAGTGCATTTGTTATTGTTGCGTGCTGTCAAGTTGATTCTGAGTCATAGCAACCCCATGTGACAATGTAGAACTGCTCTATAGCGTTTTCTCAGCTATAATCTTTATGGAGCAGATTGCCACGTCTTTCTCCCGAGGAGCCACTGGGGGGTTCAAACCACCTATCTTACGGTTAGCAGTTGAGCGCTTAACCATTGTGTTACTAGGGTACCTTCAAAAATTGAGTGCATAACATGAACTAATCTCAAGTGTATGGCTTGATGAGTTTCTACGAATGTAAAACTACATGGGTAACCACCTCCTGAGGACAGCGATGGTTCAGTGGTAGAATTCTCACCTTCCATGTGGGAAACCCAGGTTCAGTTCCTACCCAGTGCATCTCAAGTGCAGCCACCACTCATCTGTCAGTGGAGGCTTGTGTGGTTCTATGATGCTGGAAAGTTTTCAGCGGAACTTCAAGACTAGGAAGAAAGGCCTGGCAATCTCCTTCCAAAAATGAGCCAGTGAAAACTCTATGGATCTTTTGCTTAGGAAGCACTGAATCTATGTTAATGGTGGAGGAATGGCTTGGAAAAGGATAGTTAGAATTGTTGTACAGCTTGAAGAATGTAGTCAATGTCACTGAATTATACATGTAGAAATTGTTGAGTTGGCATATGTTTTGTTATGTATATTTTCACCACACACACAAAAAATCCCTATGGATCATAGTGGTGTGATCCCATTGTGCCTGGGGTCGCCATGGGTCAGAGGGCCAACTGGATGGCAGCTAACAACAACGAAAACCACATCTTAGACCAAACTATAGAACCTACCCAGAACCCAGGAGCCCTAGTGGTGCAAACAGTTAAACATTCAGCTGCTAACTGAAGGTTGGCAGTTCGAACCCGCTCAGTGGCTCCTTGGGAGAAATACCTGGTAATCTGCGTCTATATAAGATTGTTGCTGTTGTGTGCCATCCCATAGACTGCAGCTCATAGTAACCCTATACAGCAGAGTAGAACTGCCCTAGAGCATTTTCTAGGCTGCCCCCTGCCGCTACTTTATGGAAGCCGATCTCCAGGTCTTTTCTCTCCCGGAGCTACTGGGTGCGTTTGAACCACTGACCTTTCAGTTAGCAGCCAAGTGTTTAACCATTGCACCACCAGGGCTCCTTCTGTAAAGATTACAGCCTAGGAAACCCTATGGAGCAGTTCTACTGTCATTTGGGGTCACTACGAGTCCGAATCAACTCAACAGCACCCAACAATGATCTAGACCCCAGAATCCCCACGGCTATTCCCAGCCACCCTATGAATGGGGTCAGAAAGACGGAACTATCAGACCCAAGAAAATGGACTAGGAGAGGGACATGTGGCAGGGAGATAGGCTGGAGAAGAAAGATGGGGTGAGGGAGAAGGGACAGAGCCTTCCTGAGATGGTAGGCAGGAGGGCAGCCCTTACAATCTTCTCTCTGCAGACAGTTCGCCAAGACTGAGGCCACCACCCAGTGCCTGGCCCTGTCCATCCTGTCCCAGGAGGTGCTGCCTCAGAGACCCCTGCCCCGAAGCCCACCCCACTGCCCCCATCCCTCTTCCTGGGGGTGGCCTGCACTGTGGCCCCTGCTGAGGTGCCCCAAGCTGTCCCCAGCCTGAGCCTGGAAGCACGGGACACTTCCACCCTGGATCTCTTCAGCGACATCACACTCACGCTGGCGTGTCCCTCCATGACATCTGACCCTTCCTTACCACTGCTGCCCCCTGCCACTGCCCTGCTGGACTCTGACCTGTCCCAGCATGCTCTGGGCCAGCCTTTGCCCTCTACTCAGCATTCCCTGGGGGGAGGGGATGAGCTCCTCACTCCAGACTGGGGATGGGTGGGTAGATGGGAGGTGCCTTGTGCCTGGGACTCTCAGGGGGTCCCTGAGGGCTGGGGGACCTTCTCCCCATGACACCCCATCACAACCCGGTCCCAGGAGGCCCCTGTCCCATCCACTCTTTCCTGGCAGTCCCTGGGGAAAAAAAACAAATCTAGACTCCCAGGTCCAGTCCTCCACCCTTGCCCCTGGGGGGCTCACTCAATTTCACTACCCCACCTTCTCCCTTCTTTCTTCCCAGCCCCATCTCCTCAGCATCTGTGGCTCCAGCTTCCTCAAACCCTGGCCTGTCTCTTCCTCAGGTCTGGCCCCAGCTCATTTATTCACGAAGATTTGTTGAGCATATACTATGTGCCAGGCCCCATTGTAGGTGCTAAGGATTCAGCAGTGAACAAAACCAGAGAAGGTCCCTCACGGAACTCATATTTGTGGGACAAGGGGGGCCAAAGGGACAGGCATTAAACAAGTACTTTAATACTGTTATGGGTTGAATCATGACCTCAGAAAGATGTATTAAAGTCCTAACCCTTGTACCTGTGAATGTGACCTTGTTTGAAAACACAGTCTTTGAAGACGTTATCAGTTAAATTAATGTGAGGCCATACTGGAGTCGGGTGGGTCCTAATCCTATATGAAAGCCAAAAACCTGTTGCCGTTGAGTCAATTCTGACTCATGGTGACACCATGTGTTACAGAGTAGAACTAGGGTTTTCACATAGGGGTTTCTTGGCTGTAATCTTTACTAAAGCAGATCGCCAGGCCTTTCTTCTGTGGTGCCAGTGGATCAGTTAGCAGTTGTGCCACCTAGGGACCTAAATTCTATATGAGTGGTGTCTTTATAAAAGAGAAGAGACACAGACACAGAGAAACACAAGGAAGACATCCATTTAAAGACGGAGGCAGAGATGGGAGTGATGCATCTACAAGACAAGGAACACCAAGGATTGCCGGCAATTACTAGAAGTTAGGAGAGAGGCATAACCTTTGGGTTAGCAGAGGAGCGCTTAACCACTGCGCCACCAGGGCTCGACCTAATTATTACATACACCACTTCATGTGTGTAAACCACTCAGGAGGAAGGTGCTGCACAGATGGGGAAACAGGCAGAACAAGTCACTTTTCCAGGCTTGCACAGAATAAACCACAGAGTTGGGGACTTCAGTTCTTCTCTTAATCGGGCCCATGACCCTTTTCTGAAAAGTGCTTGGGTCTCTTTCTGTTTCTAGACAGAAGGGTCAGGGTACGGCCTTGCTATCCCTGGGCCTCAATGCTCCCTTCGGTATAATGAGACCTCCCACCGCTCCGTTCCGGCTAGAATCTGAGTTCTCCGCACCCACCTCCCGGCTCCCCGAGGCACCCGCCACGCCCGCCCTCCACGCCTCTCCATTGGTAGGACGCGCTGTCTCCCCGCCCTCCATCGCGACGCTGCGGGCCAATCACGTTCTCGAGACTGACAGCGGGCCGGAGCGGCCCTTCCCGGAGGAGGTGGCAGCGGCGCGGGCGGATTGGCCGGGATTAGGGGGGCGGGGCAGAGTTGGGCGAGCGCTGATTGGGCTGTTCGGCCTGAGTGGGCGGGAAGCGGACGGCGAGTGGGGCAGGCAACATGTGAGATCAGAGATAAAACAGTGACCCGTCCCGGGAGCAGCCGGAAAAGGGACCTGGGCAGCGGAAGTCTGGTGCTGACGGTTGAGTGTCCTCCAGGCCTCACCTGTGGGGATCCGACTTGCGCTCGAAGCCAGCGCCTTCGGGGTAAGTCACTTCGCCGCCCGCCCGCCTGCCCTTCCAGCCGGGCAGGTGGGGAAACTGAGACACTGCCGGGCTCACAGCTGGGAGCGGACCTCAGCCTGACCCCTCCGAAGTCAGCGGACAGGGGCTGGAACCCACCTCCGATCGCGCCCGCCACCCCTCTATTTTCTCATCAATCCTGCCGGGTGGGGGACTTGACCCCCAACCCCACCCCGCCAATTTCTCCGAGGAGGAAACTGAGGCTCATACTAAGTGAAAGTTGCCCAAGGTCACACAACCAAGAAGTCCAGGCTCCAGGGCTGGCTCCTCAGAAACCATATGGAGAAGTGAACAGTCCTGTCCC